TTTCAGAGCCCCATGTATTTCCCCTGAAAGTAATATCTGTGCCTTGTGGAGCATTTCCTACCTGACTAGCATGTTACCTTAAAATCTTCCTACTCAGAGGTATGCAATGGAGTGGAATATTTTTTACGCTCAGGTGATACTGATACACAGACAGGGTCAAAAACTTCTCCCCCAATTCTTACACCTTCAAAAGATAAGTTTTAATAGCCCCATTTTACAGGTAAGAAAACTGAGGCCCAAGAAGGTGAACTGTCTTGCCCAAAGTCAGAGCAAAGATGAGGCAAAGCCAAAGCCCACATTCCATTAGCCCTCCAAGCTGTCACCTACATGTCAAATGCCATTCCCTCTAACTCTAGGTAATGTTCACTGCCATTGAGCCTGTATTCAACATGTAACTTCTCTTTCTTTCCTTTCTTCCTTCCTCCTGGCTATTGTGCCTTTCTTCCCCTGCCTAAGACCCCACAACCAAACTCAACCACATTTCATGAGCAGGGATTCACATGGATGTACTGGGTTGACACTTCAGCTTTGAGGTGATAGTACCCAGCTCAGGGTAATGCCCACCATGGGCCTCCCAACAGTTCCAGATCCTGCTAACCATGTGTCAACATTTCTTCCTTAAATTAACGCAAGAAGACAGCGGTCCTAAGCTGCACAGCAAATTTCTTTTCTGGGCAAAATTTAAAAATAAATAAAGTAAAAATTTAAAAAGCAAATACTTGAAAAGTCAAATTAAATATCACAGAGGGGAAAAAAAGCAAAATCATGAAAAAATGTGGTCAATCATTAGCAGAGAGGTTGAAAAGACACGCTCCAATTGCTTTAAAAATTTACAGAACCCAGGTCTCCTTAAAATAGTTTTGCAAAGTACACTGAGAATTCCATGCAGTAATATGAAACACAAGTCCCGCTGCTGCCACTGAACATGCTTCAGCTGGCTAAACCGAAGGAGCTTGACATTAACCCAAAGCTCTGCAAAACTCAACAGGAAAGCACAATGGAGATGCAGTTGCAAAGCTGCCCCAGATGTGTACATTTTCTGCTCCATTAAAATAACTTGGATGAGAGGCAAAGCACATTTGGCCCACAGAAAGAGGGAGTTAGGAGAGGGCCAAGAAGAGGACAGTCAACCTCATCCTAGGCCTCCCATTCCCCAGTCTTGCCTTCCATCTAAATCTTCCCCTGCATGGCTTCTAGTCTAAAAGTCTCAAATGCAAATATGACTCCAAGCTTTCCAGGACTCCTCAGAACCAAACTGCTTCGCCATAAGTCTCAGTGTCCTTAACTCTGTCCTGGGGTTAAGACCTACTTCAATGGTTAGTGGGAAATTAATTGAGATATACTTGGTGTCTGGTATGCAAGGTTTATAGTATGCTTTGGAGGAAAAGTAGATACCACAATTATCATCACTGAACCCATGTCATATGAGCAGAGACAGGTAAGGGACATGAAGATGTCTGGGCAGAAGACAGACAATTTCTAAGGAGAAAGGATCCCAAGCTTTCCTGTATCTGAAGGGCTAACATGAGACTCTTGGTGGTGGACCTAGTATGGTGGCTACAAGGTATAAGATTCTGTCTCAGTGTAAGTAAGAAAGGTCTTTCCAACAGTCAGTCAGTAGTTTTTCCCAAAGTTGAGGGGCAATAGTCAACTTCCTGACATTAGAACTATATAAGAGGTATCTGGTGACCATTCGGCAGGGATATTGAAGAGGGGATTCAACCATGATTTGGTTGAACTTGATGTTTTTAACCACCACTGAAATCTGGACTTTTGAACTGCCTTTCCTTGCCAATCAATGAATCATCAACATCTTGAGTTCCCAGTATGTGTAAAGCCTGGGGCCATGGTCTCTGATCAATGAGGTACTCTGCCAGTTTCCACTAGAGCAGAAGCACTTAGTAGGTTCTCCATGAAGCTCTGTTCAAATACTGTAAGAGTCACACAGGAAGCAGAAACTCTGGGTGTCTTTTGGTTGCCCTGAGGTTGCTGAAGAGTTTCTTTGAGTATCCTGTACCTGTCATTCCTTCCCAAAAATCCATTCTGCGAACCTCCCTGCAAAATGTATTGAGTCTGTGTTTACTCTGTTGGCATTCGTTTCATTGTTTGTTCTTTTCTTCTTTCTGGGTTCTTGGGAAATGGAACTGCCCTCTTATAAGAATTATTTACAGTGACTTGGGTGGGGAATTTGTTTGAACTTCAGGACGCATGGTATTTATTACATTCACGAATGTGTGTCTGTCTTACAAGGAGTAGTCAGCATTCTGCCCTTTGGCCCCTGGGAGTGGGAAAGACAGAGTTGGTATTCAGCTCAACCCTGAAAAGAAAAAGCAGAGTTTTGGGGGCAGGGGGAAGCATGCAAAAAGGTTTGCTGTTTATGCTTTCTGTGTCTTTCTTTAATGCATCTGGTCTATAAGCCTCTACTCCCCCCAGTCCTGTGCTAGGAACCTGGGATGTTGAAGTTACTCAGCCTTTATGTCATCCCTCAAAGAGCTCATTCTAATAAGGGAAGATAAAAGGTTTGGGGACAAAATAGTAGAAAGAGACTGCCTGTGCTTGAGGAGAGTTGGTTGTTAAAGAAGACTTCACAAAGGAGATGGCATTTAAGCTGGTCTTCAGGGAAAGTTGAGGTCACCATGCACCCCAGGAGGAAATACTTCCCAAGATGAGGACAGAGCAAACACAAAGGCTTGGGACCTCATAAAACATGCTATCTTGGGAAATATCAAATAGTTTAATGCATCTGAAGTGTACAGTGTCCAGGAAGGTGGTAAGAGACGGGTAACATAGTATATTTTAGGTTCACCCTCATTTAGATGGGATAGGTGGTTGGTGCCATTTCAAGATGGTGCTACTTGAAATTATTTTGCAAACATAGTTTTGAGCTTCTTGGACTTACGTTAAATATGGCCAACTCTGCATACTCACATCCTTCTTGTGAGTTATCAGAAGTCTTGCTACACATTACTTTCCCTTAATGACCACAGCAATGTATCCTTAAAATAAACTCACTTAAGATCAGTCCAAAGAAACCATAATTATGAAGGTAAATCTGCTGGAACAACAGAGTGGTTCCTCTTTTTTCCACAAGTATGTGGGGCAATGTAGGACCCGTACCTGCATCAGGACAACTCATGGTCATGTCCGACTGTCACTGCATCTATACCAGAGGCCTGGTTTAAGGGGACTTGACCTGACCTGTACATTTAGATCAGGGAGGTGTATGTTGATGTGGTTCATCTGTATAACTCATTTCCTAAAGCACAGTAAAATAACTTGGGGGTTTTGGTTTATCTACTTCATCATTAGTGTAGCTGATCTGAAATGTAAGCCTAGTGCTTTTAAAAGAGAATAATGTGTAATGCTTTCTGATTATAAAGTCATACCTGCTTACTGTGGAAAATAGTTACATATAAATCTATAAATATAAAACACAATGGTAAACAAAATCACCCACCACTCTTACTATTAATGAACAACATTTTGGTGCATTTATTTTGATTTTTCTTACAGATTGAGTTCATTAACATGAATTAAAAAATATAAATAACACTTAGTTGAGACTGCCACTTCCATTAAGCATTCCTGTATGAGAATATTTTCTCACTATTACATAAATACTTTTTTAATATTCCAAGACCAGATTACAAGGGTTTTTAGGGCAGGGAAGGTGTATTATTCATATAGTGACCTAATTTTGGTGCAGAGATCCAACATGGAAGCTCGGGTTCTGCCACAGTAACATTTGAAGGAATCCATGTGCTTGTCCTGTCCATTGGCACTACTAGCACCTACCCCAGACTCTGGCGTGTGGTACACATCCAGTGAATCTTGGTTGCCTGAATAAATGAGTGAATGACTGGATGGCTGGATGAATGTGGAATTTTATTTATTATTCTTCACCTAAAATTTATTGATTCTCTTAAGTGCCAGGTCGGAGCTAGGCACTCCTTATTTCTGGGGATATAAGTAGCCATATTTGAATCAAAGTCTACCCACCCTCCCAGAGGCGTCCCTGTGAAGGTGCTGCCCCCCCCCCCCCCGTGATGTGAGGTGGCCTTCCCACGAATGTGGCGCCCAGTCGCCCTCTTTCTGGGAACACCTAAATCCTTCCCGGACCTCTCCTGTCTGTGATGTTAGGAACAGAGCAAAGATTGCTATTTCACAGTCTCACTCTTGAACTCTCTAAGGGGCTCCAGAAATGGCCAGCTAGTCCCGGTCTTGCCTTCTACGGAACACTCCTCCAACTTCCCATTTCATTCCAAGTGATCCCAATTCAGAGACAGAAAGGTTGTGGAGGGATACTCACTCCAGGACAGAGGGGCGCCACTGCTGCCCTGGCGGCGAGCAGCCCTCCACTATCCTTCCGCCACCCCAGCCACCTGGTCCAACTGGAAATCCCAGATAAGCCCCAGTACTGGTCAGAACTAGTTTGGCAGTTCTGTGGAAACAGCCCCCAGAACTGGCAGCGGGAGCTGGCAGTTTTGCAGAAGACGGGGGAAAAAAAGAACTGTAAGGGCCGACAGGAGTGGCTAAAATATTTGAAACACTCCAAAATTCTGCTCCCTTGCAAGTACAAGTTTAAAGTTAGGGATCGAAACAAGATTGCCTCCCCCCACACACATCATTTTCCCACAGTGCCTCTTCTCCTTTGCAATGCCCTTTTCTGTTGCAATGCAATTTGTTTTGCCATGCGATTGTTGAAGCAATATAATCCTGCCCGCAGCGACTTTCAGTCAAAGTACTCTTTTCAGCAATGCTATTATTATTAGTAGTATTAGTATTGCAATTCAATCTCTCTGCCCTCTCCCCTCCCTACTCAAAATGCGCTCCGGCTGTGATTGCTCGGGTCTGACTTTGCGAGTGGCAGTGCGCTTCCAAACCCCCCTCGTCTGCCCCCCACCCCCCATTCCCCTCCCTCTCTTTTCCGCGCCCAGGCCAGAGCAGCCGATTGGCAGAGCGGCGCTTTCGGGAACAATAACAGTGGGGGGACTCGGGGGTTGGGGAGCCGCCCCCCCCCCCCGGCCCGGCGGCGCAGCTCGTGTCCCCAGCCGTGTCCCCACCTCAGTGCCCGCCCCGGGCCCGCCCCCGGCGCCCACCATGTACGCCTTTGTGCGGTTCCTGGAGGACAACGTCTGCTACGCGCTGCCCGTGTCGTGCGTGCGCGACTTCAGCCCCCGCTCACGGCTGGATTTTGACAACCAGAAGGTGTACGCCGTGTACCGGGGCCCAGAGGAGCTGGGTGCCGGGCCCGAGAGCCCCCCGCGCGCCCCACGCGACTGGGGTGCACTGCTGCTCCACAAGGCCCAGATCCTGGCGCTGGCAGGTGAGCGAATGGGCCGGGAGGGATGGTGGGACCGGGCGGGGGCCAGGACCCAGGGAGGGGGCCGGGCGCTGGGGCGGAGGGGCGGAGGGGGCCGGCGTGAGCCACTGCTTGCTCAGGCCTCCTCCTCCCGCCCCCTAGGCTTTTCTTTGGGGTACTGGGTGTCTCTGAAAGGCCAGACCAGTTAAAAATACCGGATGGTCCCCTTTGTCTTCCCTGCCTCCTGACACAGCGCTGTCAGTCTGTCTTCCTCTCTCTGTGTGTCTGTCTACTCTTCTGTCTCTGTTCCTGGGGCTCTTTACCTTTCTCTCTCTGCCTGTTTGTACCTTCATTTCTCTGGCTCCCACCTCTCTCAGTTCCTTCTCTCCCGGCTCCTTTGGTCCCCTTAAGTTTCTCTAGTTAGCTGTCTCTCTCAGGTTAAGGCCCTTGGTACTTCCTGGGAGTGAGGAAGCAAGGTGGATATTGTCAGACTCATCAAGGTGGGAGTTCCTCTCAACAGGGGACAGCTGTGACATCCTTGTCCCGTCCAGGCCATCACTGGACGGGATGAAGAGGCCTTGAACCACTGGGCACCACTCCCTCCCGCCTCTCCTTGGCCAGGTGGTGGAGGTAAGGAGGTGGTGGCTCTCAGCTTCCCTCAGCCTCCACACCCCTCTTGAATCTCCCAGAAGGCTCCCTAATGAGAGTCCAGGGCCCAGAAAGGGTTGTTTCTAGATCACAGACCTCCCATGCCTGCTTTCTCAGGGCCCTGAAAAATAGACAATGCAGGTGGTCTCAGATGAGAATACTGAGATTCAGTAGGGATAGGACAAGCAACTGCCCCATCAACCTCCTACAGCAAGTTATTTCTGCCATGCTGAGCAACCTTTTCTTTTGTGAAGAGAAAGCAGTGGACCCTCTTCCCCAGCTAGTTGTAGGAGGCTTGGGTATAGACGGGAGAGGAAGAGGGAAGTAGCACTTCCGTTTTGGGGTACAACCATTTAGTTGCTGGTGGTAAGGAGGGTGTACCTTAGAGTGGGCAGAGACAGTAAGCCACCCTGCCCCCCACCTTGGAGGGGAAAACAAGGCGTTAGGAACTGAATGAAGGTATTGCTAGTATTGTGTAGTTTTGAGACCTTTCCTATGTTTTCCAACTTCCTTTGCCTTCTCACATTTAGCCTATCAGATGAACCCAGCATGTATTATATTTAAATTTGGCAGATAAGGAAACTGTGGCTCAAAATTAAGAAGTGACTTGTTCAGGGTCCCATGGCAAAATAGCAGTAGATTCGAGCTCTGGGTCATGAGTTGTTCCTTTCCACCACCTCCTGTTGCCTCTGGAAAGCAGGTTTGCGGGTGTTGAGGGGTGGCAGCAGCACTGGCACCTGGAGCCCTTTTTGTATCCTCACGACCTCTCACACAAACCTGGGGTCAGGGGTGTAGATCTGCTCACAACACCTGGGCCACCTGGGGCCACCTGGGGCCACCTGTGGCCAGAAAAGCAGAATGAGGGAAAGTCTGTAGAAAAGGGAAACCTTTGTGGCTGATTAGGTTTTATTTTGTTTGCTTGCTTGCTTTTAATTACCTGAGGGAAGGGATTAGGAGTTAATTCCCCAGGAATACAAACCCCAGGAAGTTTTAAGTGGATTGTAACCTTAGCTTCCCTTTGGCTAAAAGAAAAGAAAGTTTGCTTCTTGAGGATTGCATTAGACTCCTATACCTGGAAGAGTCTTAGAAGAGGGGAAGTGATGTGGGTCAGGAGTCCGTGGTATGTGTGCGTCTTCGAGTGAAATAGCTGTTTTCCTCTTTCAGAGAACGATCATTCATCCATTTATTCATTCAGCAAGTGTAAACACTGCACTTGGCTCTTGAAGAACTGCTCAGAGGCTTGCTTAGGCCAAGGGCAGCCCCACAGACTGATTTTAAAAATCAGTGGAAGTCCACATAAGTAAGACACATGTAGTCATTGGTCTGAGGACTATGAATCTTGAATCTATAGACAATTCACTCTCCAAGTTGGAACGCTGATGAATCTCTGGGTTTCTTCAAACAAACAAACCTAGGCAACACCTGGAAATTGTCAGAGTAGGTCCAGAGAAGAAGTGTGGCGCCAGTCTGAGCAAAATGAGTCACAAAGCCTTTCCCCGGCCTCGCTTCGATTTTCTCCTTGAGAGGAGAAAGGGGAAAGAGAAGAAGAGAAGAAACAAACAAACAACTGGAGGCTGGCAGGCCACATTTCGAATTCCAAACAGCTGGTTAATTTTTACATGGGAGCCGCTGCCCTGGCTGCAGACCCGATCGGAAGAGCCAGGGTGGGTGTAGGGGTTCGCTCATCCAGGAGGTACGCTCCCGTGTGTCTTGAGAGCCCATCTCCACTCGAAAGGGGTGGCTCTGAGAACTGCTTGCAGGGACATCATCTTAGAGAGCTCATCTTCTGCCATCTCCTAGTTGTGAATACCTCTGTGTTGTGGCACCAGATGCGAGGAGGGGAGCCCTCAAGGGGACGCAGAGATGGCTTTGGTTTGAGTTAGCCAGGAGCAATTAAACCCTGTCTGGCACCTACAGCATGGCTTTAGAGCCAGGTTCAGAGCCACTTTATAGCCTTTCGTGAGAAGTGTGTTACTTTCCTGAGTATTTGCCCAGGCCAACCCAGAGCTACCTGCAAACGTACCTCTTCTTGTTCTCAGGAAATGTCAAAGCCAACTGCCATGGAACTTTGCATTTTTCCAGCTCATGGCAGTTTACACTGTGGTTTTGGTGTGTGTCAGACCCTGGGGTATAATCCCTCTCCCACTATGTCTGTTCAAGAGAAAAAAAAAAAAACACCTTGATTGACAGTCTTACTGTGTCGCTGTTCATTATCCCTGTTAGTTCTCCCCGTGACCCTGTGGGTAGAGATGGCTATTGCTATTATTTCCATTTTATGGGAGGGGACACTGAGGATCAGAGGCTTGCCTGTAGCATGAAGTTAATAAATGATAAAGCCGGGCTTGGTGGCCAGGTCTTCCAGTGCCAGGCCCCCACATGGCAGTCTCCTGGGTAGAATACCTGATGTTCCCATTCGCCACAGCAGGCAGAAAAGAATGAAAGGAAATGGAAGAACTCTCCATGAAGCTTGCAGTTCAAGACAGGTTTTGAGCCAGAGGAACTTTACTTTCTGAGCTTTCAAGTCCAATCTGCTCTTCCTCTTCTCCTCTTACCCGCCTCCCTCCTACAGCTCACACACACCTGGCCCTCCCCCTCTAGTCGCATTTTCTTGAGGAAATCTCAAAGGAGCTCTCGTTCTCCATGGAGGGTCCACATAGCTCAAGACTTGGCTTACCCTTGGACTGTGGTCTCTCCTGACTCACTCTCATTTATTTGCCAAACAGGTTGTGAAAGTGAGTGCTGCCCATTTGGAGAGCACACCATTATCTACCTGCAGTTTAGCCTGCTACTGGGGCTGAGGGTATTGAATTCTGTGTTTTTTATGGGGCCAAAACTGGTTTCTCCAGACCCAGAATCTTAAAATTTGATGCTGTTCTGTCCAGGCACCTGTGCTGTGCTGTTGTTGTTTGGGTGTGCTCAACTCCTCTTGCTGTAGAGTTCCCCCCATTTCTTCCTGTCTGGGCCCAGGGATGTTATAAGCTGATGCACCACCCTGTCTGAGGTACTGGGGTTGAACTGAAAGTTTGATGGAGGGGAAACAAAAGCCAACTTTTCTGGGCCTGCTCTGTAGGGTTCTGTCGGGGCAGAGGGATGAAGAAGAAATGGGCACCACCTGCAGGGAGCGTGCAGTCTGAGGTCGAGCCAGGCACTCGGGAAGCCATGCTCCATGGGCTTTGCAGTTTATCTTTTAGGTCTTTGCTTTACAGCTGCACTCCCACTGCCTGCGTTCAGGCCTGTGCCGGCTTTTACTCATCTAAACCAGTGTAGCCGCCTTCAGTTGATCGCTCTGGCTCCAGTGTGTTTTCTAAATTGCTGTCAGAATAATGTAAAACACATTCTTAGTCCATTCATGGGTCTCCCTAGAACCCCCTGCAGCTCCCTGTTGCCTACTGAGTACAACTTCAGCTTCCTGCCCTGGCCTTCACAGCGCCCAGCCTCACCGCACTGCTCCAGCTCTGCCTACCCGTCCCACTTCCCCTAGATCCGCAGTATTCTGTGCCACCTTGAGAACATACCTGCAGGCACTCCTCTGAGCCAACCGGGATGGATTAATCATTGTCTGACATGGGGCCTCTGCCCGTGGAGCTCACCTTCCAGTGAGGAGGGCAGGTATGTGACGTGTTTCTGGTCCAGTGAGTTGAGGGCTGTGATAGAGGAATGGACAAAACACTTTGCTCAGGGTGTTTCCTGCTCTATCCTGTGCCCCAGGGAGGCTCTCGCTCCTCCTTGAAGTGCTCCTTTTACTTTACTTGTTCCTCGCTTGTGGATCTTAGCATTTTGTGTCTTATTTTGGTTGGTCATGAATGTGCCTGTCTTCCTACCAAACAGTGACCTCCTGCAGGACTGGGGCCTGCCTGCCTTGTCTCCGTATCCGCAGTGCCCGGCACGTTGCACACACATGTCACCCCACGTCGGAATCATGGACTTTGGGAAGACAGGTGCAATTTTTATGCTTGGGAAGAGGAAGTAGGGGGGACAGAAACCTCTGTAGCAGCAACATGTTTTTCAGAACGGAAACTTGCAGTGGGATTTTGAGGTTTCATTCAACTTCGTTCATCTGGAAAAAGTCAACATTCTTTATCACTCCCTTGCCTAGAAGAAACCCCACGCTTGGGGAAAATAGCTTCCAAAGCCACGTTCTTCTTGATTTGGTAGTTTTAGCTCATTCAGGGCTCAGGTCCCAGCTTGGCATCGTTGGTCCAAATAGATCACTTGCTCCAGAAATGCTTTGGAACATCTACAAAGTTAGCAGCGAAGCAGGGGATGAGCCGATTTCATATGCAAAGATTGTTGCATGTCATCAGTGGGAGACTGCCAGCAAAAGGATTTATTTCTTTTTTTAAAAAAAAGCAAGTGAAACTTTTAATTTAGGTTTT